AAATCGAGTACCTTAACTTCAGGGCCTCTTCTAGAGCTTGATGTCTAGCCAGTTAGCGAAGGCGCTATTTTAGTTGAGACGCTAGGACTAGGTTTACATATGTGAGCAGCACATATACGTTTGTTGGGCTGGACCACGGTTGAGCAATAGTAGTTGCCCGTTTGTTGCGCTTGCTAATACCAAAAAACAAGTGATATGACCAGCAGTTAAAGAAGGCTTAACAACGACTTATGTAACAAATGTAATAGTTATTAGCAAATGTTTCTCTACGGTTTGGGTAAAGTATGTCGCAAAACTATTGTCTCGAAGTTAACAGCGGTAGTTCGTGACGAAATAAAGCGAAACGGACAAACAACTTCTCTCTCAGTCAGCCCTCGTTTTGGTTCTTCTGTTTTCTCAGCAGTAACCTCTTGCGTCCTGCTGTGTACATCCAAATGGGTGTCTTACATTCTCGAGGCAGTTCGCTAATTGGTTAATGTTCTGGATTCTGGGCAAAGTAACATATCATGTGTATATGATACACGTGTTTTTTAGTTAGTCAGCCATTCTCCTCGGGGGAGAAACTTCCCCATCCGGCTGAGACTTCTCTATTTTGTCTGAGTTGCGGTCAGTTTTACGAACACGCTTCATAGTACGATTATGATGTAACACAACTGTTAGCTGTTGTCAGCCTGCAGTGTATCACTTCAGTCAGATATGGTCTTGTTGCATTTCCCCTCTTTATTTAACTGCACACTGAATCGCGAGCTGGTGAGCTTTGCTATATGAACACCAACTACCTCTTCTCCGTTAGGATCTGTCACAAGGTCGGGCCTTTACTGATAGGCTTGTTCTGTGACATCAACTGGCGGACATTGTTCCAATTCCTTCGTAACTGCACTCTTGGGTTCTACTGGGACACTAACTTTTCGCCACACAATATGATGTTACTTGTGAGGCAGATTGCTTCGCATGTTAAAAAATCTGGTTACTCCTATAGTTAACACCGTGTAAACTAATGAAGTAGGTTTTTCGGGATTAGTTTTTCTATCATGTCTCACTATAAATCCAGTGTTTTGGATAATCCCCTGGATTTTGCTGCTCAGTTTATGCCAATGCTACTCTGTAGTGAAGTGAGGTTGCACCCTTAGAACAATAAGTGTTCATTTCTTTTTGTATGATTTTAAGGCGGCAACATAAGGATTTCGGGAAGTGGTTGGATATGACTCTCGTTAAATCTTTAGTCAATGCTTGAGGACTTACGAAGAGTGCTACCCCCGTTCTCTTTCTTTGTTGTATGTCTGAAGAAAAATATCATGTCCAATACCCAAATTTTGATGCTCAGAACTTCCTGAGACAGTTGGGTTTCTGTTATAAATATTATTTGGCAAGGCATGTGTTCTTAGGATCCTTTTTTCTCCACTCACTCCCTTCATACTGTTGCACTTTCTTAAAAATCTTTTCAGTGTAGGTTACAACTGAGAGATGTATTCGTAACCTGGGAAAGAATCCCCACACTTGTTCAAGTAGTAGCGCACCTGTTCTCTACGAACTTATATTCTGTGACTGGCCACTAGACAATAAAAATCACTTACTAACCGGATACACCAATTAATGGATCAAAGGTTGTTGTGCTACTGAAATGGAATCTAAAAGTTGGCCCTTAAGAAATATGCTGTAGAACAGTGACACCCAGGTTTTCAGTCACGTTATACATGCTTTCAGAGTTAGCCTAGTGGTATATCGGTCATTTGCTAGTTCAGTCACCCCGTTTTGGTACAGTTTGACACATAAAGGGTATGCGAGTGCATCATAAATCCCATAAAGTAAAATTGTTATGCCCATTGAAAATGACCAATGACTCTCCTTGAGTGCTGTGTTCGATAACATGAAGAATCACCACAGCCCGAAACATTTCCACATTTAAATCATACAGTCACAATTCCTTGGACATTGAAGCGTTCTGCACAGGTTGGTCTTTATTCTGAGCACTTGAAACGTTACGAAACGAAACCAATAGCATACCTGAAATGCCGATGGTTGCGAACTGATGCTGGTATCACAAGCAGACCAGAGGGCTGATCGGATCGCCTGTATGCAGTAACGTTTGCAAAACCACTAAAGAACTCATGGTATGCATGTTGTGAGATATGACAGGGGACTCATATGAACCATTATTGTCTCGCCTTGAACTTGTAGTATGCTTTCCATATTCTCGGTGGACTCTGATTCCAGACAGTCGGAAGTGAATGATACTTGCAGACGCTTGCAAAGCGAGTCTCATACCTGATGGACTGAGGAAGATCTTTAGCCCCAGATGAATACCCTATTCCTCAGTCACCTATAGCGTAACTGATCTTACCAAAAAAAACTTCATCCATTGGCTTCAAGATACAAGTTCTCTTCATTGATGCACAACCACGTCAGCTGCAGCCGAATATGAAGCAAAAAACGCCGAAAGTGCACTAATAAGTGCCACACTATGAGTGGTTGCAAGAAATCTATATGACCTGAGAAAGTATGTACGGAGCTCTCAATCCCGGCAACGAAATACAGAAAACCTATGAAATTCCCGCCAAATGCCGTGGAAATGATTCGACTGAATACGAAATCCCGGCTTCCATCTGCTGCCGGTCTCGTCCTGCTTGCTGGAATGCTGTGGTTAGCAGTTACGGTTCACTTAAGCATCATACATATTCCGTACACAGTGAACCTGCCTTTATCTGTTTATATAACCAAACTCAGATGGAATGGGCGTGGGGAGGTTTTTCTAGTGTAGTATGCAGGAAGTAAATCGACTTTATCAACAGAAACGCTTTATTGAAGTGTGATGGCAGATTAGACGATCAAATTAGGCTCTTCTGGGTAGTGAAAGTCAGAGAGAGAGAGAGGAAGCATTAAGTGCTTAGTGTAGCATGACTGCGAATCAAGTGGCTTCAACTTTTCGCTGCCTATCTTTGACAAGGCTAGTTCAGCAAAACTAAATGTTTGGCAGTGATTGTGAATAAATATACACAGACTTGGTGAGCAAATTTGGTTCTCTGAGTTGATAGGATTGTTTTCAAAGAAGTGCAAGCACTCAGGTTGGCATACAAAATTGTAGGTGATTGCATGCATTGAATATGATGAAGGTTTCAAAGTGAATGTCAATATTTTCGCCGACTGATCGTTTGAAGATCCTGAACTTATATGGGTTTGGAGTCATATAACACCTAACTAACGACTAATGATTATGAATTCCTATCGGGCTCTCAGTTCATGTTTATGACAGTCTTTCTTTTAAGATTGTGAGTTTTCATCTGGCGCACAACAACATTTTACTTCCTCCTAAGGGAACACCATACTGTAAGCAAACTTTGTAACTGACTGAACTTTTCCGTAGATATGGAATTAAAGTTACCTGAAACCGCAGTCTCGAATTTTCAGCCGTATGATATATCCATTTGATTGTTTAAGAGGTAAGTGGTTTTATGAGAATATCAGTTCTTCTTTCGAGACATTCAAAGTAATACAACAATAGAAGTCAGTGTTTCGACATACGTCTTGTTGTCTCCATATTTATTTAAACAAATTGTAAGTGCTGTTGGCTGTTTTCTTCCAAAACTTTTCCATCGTTATCATGAAATTTTCGTATCTTAAAATTATAAATCTAACAAATCAAGTTTGCGGTATATATTTACCATTTTCAATGGTTCAATGAAGTTGTAAAATCATTAACTCTAATTTATCGACTTCAAAAAGGCCTTCGATAGCGTCGACTGAGAAGTAATTTGGCAGTCGCTTCAATACTACGGTTTTAGTGCCACAAATCTTTATCAACCTCATTCAACAGCTATATTGCAGACGCAACATACCAAGTGATCTACAATGGAAAGCTCAGTGACACCTTTGAAGTGAAGTGAAGACAGGAGTAAGACGAGGTTGCCGCCTACGATCACCCATGATCTTCCTGATCGTGATCGACTGGACTGGATCATGAAGCGAAGCATGAGGGTTAGAAGATGAGCATACGATGGACCGATGAGAAGACCCTAGAACATTTGCATTTCACGATGACTTGTGTCTAATGTAGCACAAACTCGAAGATCTCAACAGGCGAAAACTGACAAGTTGACAGAAGAGGCAGGGCAGGGCAGGGCGAGACAGGGCAGCGAAAACGGGACTTCGAGTAAATGTAAAGAAGACGGAGGTGATGAAGATACTCAACCAACAACAGCATCAACAACAAGAGGCACCGATCACCATGAACTAGAGAAACCCAAAGGAAGTAGTCTCTTTCACCTACCTATCTAGGCAGCATCGTTCCAACTGCGAGCAGCTGCACAGGCACAGACGGGGATGTCAAAGCCAGCCAGGATCGGAAAGACAGCAAGAAAGGCAGGCTTTCACTGATCTGAAATCAGTGTGGAGAGCTACTGCACTGCATTCGGCACAAAGAACAAGATCCGGATTTTCAACACCATTAATGTTAGTCAAGTCAGTGCTTGTATGTGATGGTTCAGAAACTTGGTGTCACCAAAAGCATTTCCAACAAACTACAGATATTTATCAACAACTGCCTACTCTGGCTCGTTACTGAAGCTCAGATGGATCGCAAGAAATAATGAGTAACTAGGAACTCTCTCGGGGAACGAAACAACCAAGAACCTGTCACTCAACAAATACGCAGAAGGAAGTGGGGATGGGTTAAGCATGCAGTGAGAAGACCATTGAGGGACATCACACACCAGGCACTCGAGTGGAACCCAGATGGGAAACGATGAGTTTGGCGTCCCAGCTGAGGGTGATATGGAGGAGAGCGTGTGAGGAAGGAATGAAATGTGGGCAGTGGTGGCTCCAGGTTGAAAAGGCTGCTGAGAAGAGAGTGGAATGGAGGTGTGCTACTGAATCCCTATGTTCCACTATGAACCCAAGGGAAAAATAATGATAATGGGATAATAATTTTACTGTTATAAAAAAGGCGAGATACTTATTTGACAAATCTTTTTCCTCCTCATCTATTATCTTTGAGATATTCTTTACTATTTAGGAAAGAAAAGCTTGTTTAAATTATCCATATTTAGGAAGCATCCACTGAGAAATGACCATAGATGAGCTCTGAAAAATGTATACATATATAATATTGATCACAAATAAGAATATCTTTTTATTTGTTATAAAACCTTTGAAAAAATTTTAAAACTTTCATGGTTTGTATAAATCATCTATGAGATATGATTTAGTAATTATCCTGACTAAGATCGTTGAGATGTACGGAATCAGTGATGATTGAGGACTCTTGGTAACATGATTGAAAATTGTTCACAATGGCGTAGATGCATTCACTCCTTAACATCTTGAAAAGCTTGAATATTTACACTAACCGCTATCTTCAAATTGTTTATTCTGTCAAGTACAATTTTGTCTATTTTGATATTAGTCTCTTTTTCTAGCCAGTTATTCTTTGTGTACTACTGTAAAGTGTATCAACTTGAACCGATCCACTTGTGTGACAGGTTCACGTATGATTAACGCAACATGAAGTAACAAGATAACTTGCCAAATGGTATGAATGCTTTATCGTATGTCTTCAGCCTAACCAATCTGTCAGCTTCAATGTTGAATCTCATTGTTGTGGAGTTATTTGTGGTTACAATGATTTAATAACTCGTCATCAATATTAGTGTTTAGGTTGTGCAACAACAAAACTCATTCAAGGTTGTCTGAATCACTGACTTAAATTCTTTCTTCGACAATGTTAACCGCACTGATCAAATTTTAGTTTTTCATCAATAAAGTATAAACTGCAGATCAAATACATCTACTTGAATTTTGATCTGTGGGGGTAATCAATGGAGTCTACGACACAGATTTTCTCCTGTCTGAGACTTGTCAGCTGGATGTATCTGCACCCTAGACAGTGACAGTTCCCAATGAAACTTGAATCTATCCCTTCAAACACTTGAGTGTTATTCACTAGACAACTGAGTCATGAGAACTGTTTCATGTATAATCAGAATTAACTGGTATTTCTCAACACTTGCAATTTCTTGTTGATGATTACACTAGATGAATGTGATCGATCTCTCTTGACATATTCAGATGACCAAATGTTGCTTGGTGGCTTCACCAACAGCTGAACAAAGAAACCATCCTATTGGTAAGTGTTCTGAAATCAACTAGAGATATTGTACAACATGCCGCATAAAGTGAAAAATAGTAATTAGATTTGAAGTTTTGGGAGGATTTATTGGCTCCAAATTGGGATTTTTCATGGAGTGACCTCAGTTGGAGAAACATTGAAAACCTTGATAACACTGGATAGCTGTTCCGCCCTAGTATGGGACGCTTTGGCAATGAGAATCCATAACACTATCATAGGTCGAACCCAAGACCTTAGTGATCCATAGCCAGCCATTGGGTTAGAGTTTAATGGTTCACAGTTGCCTACATCTGTCACTTGGCGATATAACCCCACCTTCAAACTAACTTGTCATCAGTAAATCCCCACAGATCTCTATGTTGAAATACTGTTCGATACTCATCTGTGACTAGCTTCGAGATGAGTTATGACCGGTGAGGCAGACCAAGTTGGACACGAGGAGAGATATTCAACGGCAGTGGTATTGAATACAGGTCGCGCTATATCGCAACCTGACAGAAATATGAAACTGTAGGCCATTGGATTCCGATTCATTGGCTCAGTTGGAATGTGCTGGATGCGAAAGCTGAAAGTCATAAGTTCGACCTCTGATGAGATCATGAGTGCACACCCCAAAGAAGTCCTATACTAGGTAGCATGAAACACCCGTCCAGTATCCCCAGGTTTTTAAAGGTTCCCAAATTAATTTCAGCTCACTTCTTGGGTGCAACTGACCACTCTCTGTAAATATATGAGCTGTGCAAAAGAACCATTTGGTACTAACTCAAGCTTTCTTTGAATGTAAGATGCCTACTGGCGTTTAACAAAAAAGCTAATAATTCCCATTTTTAGAGTTTAATCGAGAAGCTAATACTCAGTGTGATGCAGACATGTAGATGAGGAGTATCCAAATTAGGAGTAAGACTTCTATACTGGACACCTCTAGTTTCCAATAAGCATATACAGTAAAGTTTTCAATTTCTTAATACGTTTTGATATAGATCCCCATTTGTGTCTGCTTTCTAACGCTTTTGAAATATTACTGATTACTCTTTTGTTGACTGTCACTTATTCCTAAATGTAAGAACGTCCTTTTTGCTAACTGAGCTATTGGCTTACATTTCCCTCCTTTAGTTTTCCTTCCAGATTCTCATGTTAGCTGATTGGATTACTACCGTTAAACTTATCTTCACTCTTCTACAACAACCTACTTCTACAGGCTAAACGAAGATCTACCAACACATCTGGTCGTTACAGTTTAGTCTTCACAATAGTTTGACTTTGTATTGTTCTGATTCAGCGTTCAGGAACTTTAAAAAAACTGACCATGATATATCTAGGAAAAAAGCTTCACCACTGCCGTGCTTGAAAGCACACACATACATAGAACTATCCACTAAATCGAAGAAAGTAACAGTTGTAAAGAGTAACATATAGCAGATGGTGAGGTTGACCACTGAATCAGCACCAAACAAACACAAACACCATACTAATCGTACAACGCCTATTCCAGATAAACAGAAAATTCTACTACCATTGGCGACTAGCTTCAAGAGGTGATTCCTGAAGTTCTAATAAGAAAACGTGACCAGTGGGGCAAACCTGATGGCCTTGAGGACAAACACTCAACAATGACATTAGATGATGGTTGCGCTATGTCGTTAACTAATAGAAGTTGGAAATATGGACTACTGGACTCTAACCCAGTGATACAATGGCAACGTGCTGGTCATGGGACCTGAAGGTTCTAGGTTTGAGCCCTGACGGGGTGGGGTCATGGTTGCGCACTGCTGAGTCATATACTAGGACGAAACAGCTGTCCAGTTCTCCCAGGTTGTCAATGTACCTCTAAATGATGTCATTCCATGAGGAATACCAACTGAAAAACAATATAAAACACACCAGAAATTTGTGTAATCATCTTGATGTGATTGTAAGAAGTAATATGTACTTGAAACGTCATCCAGTGATGAATCATTGCTGTATCACTATCTGCTACATCGGTCATAATGCTCAGATTCCTTCCCTATAGAACAAGTACACGGTCTATGGGATGATTCATTATTCATGCAATGAAAACTCATAATAATTCCGTGAAAAAAATGAAATATGTTTAAGCAGACTGTTTGAAGCGATAAGAAAGAAATGCAGGTAGGATTATAGAGTAAAGACAATAAGTGACAATGTATAAGAAACTCATAATTTACTCATTGGTGCTGGTTGGCAGACAGATCCAGAATGCTGCATGCACCTGCAACCCATTGAGTAATGGCGTTCCCATTACGACTCATGCTGGGTATCCAAAGCCTCAAACGCCAAAATGTTATCCCGTATAGCAACGCAAGATCATAATTATCAAATAATAACTGATAATTGTTGAGCGAAAGGCAGCTCTTGTACCCCATTGGTTTAATGGGTAATTTTTTTTCCCAGAGGGGTTGGGTCTCGATAGGGACACCATCACTCACTGAAGTACAAGTATATCGATTGATCCAATCCAGTATTACAACGGGGGATTACAAGTATTAATAAATAAGGATAAATAAGTGGCATAGTGAAAAATATATTGCAGAACAAGAATGAGAGACAAGAAAGAAAATGAGAACAGTGAAGTTCATGACATGATTAAACAATGACCAGATGGAAGTTTATTCCATAATAGGTCAGGTAAGGAGAGGAAGAGAGATTGACTTCATTGATATTGAATACTTCATGTTCAGCTACCTTTAGGTGATTATCATGTAATGATAACTAATTATGTAGGAAGTTATTAAATGGTAGTTATTCTAAAACAATTACTTCCTTTTAATGAACTTCGACAAAACAATAAGAAGACGTAAATTGTCTGAATCGTGTAATGGGGTGTATTTGTGCAACACACATTTCCAACTATCTGATCACACACGTAGGTGCTAATATGGAAATTCATGAAGATAAGTTGGGTGAGAAAATAAAAACGGGGTCAGGTAGGAAGGCTGAATTAAACGCCGAATAATAATGAAAATCAATAGAGCGAAAAATAATAGTACATCCATCGAACTTGGTTTTCACTGGTTGAATTTACCAAAGAAGATTTAATGTGACAACACAAATTGTTTATGAACACACACAGAAGGTGGTTACCACTTTCTAATAGCTAAGGCTTCAACAAATTTAAGGATCCCTCCCTAACATGTTTTGTAAATAGGTGTAAAGGAAGTAGCCATATGAATCCTGTGACCTATCTCAACGATATGTTTGACGATCGAACAACTTGGACGTCTGCTACCAACATTTATGAGTTCAGGTGATTTAATTTGCTTCTCAAACCACTTTGGAATATGTTCCGAGGCCGTTACTTCCATGGATCTATGAGTTCTGTCTATCCATGTGTCACTCACTACAAGTACATTTGAATTGGTAGATACAATGAGATGTGAAATTGTCATTCACATGCTGTGGGGGTTTGGGGGAATATAATGGGGCTTCGTGGTTTCGATTACTCGAACCCTGGGTGCAAGTAAAGGCTTAGGAAAATATTCCAAAGTGGTTTGAGAAGCAAATTAAATCACCTGAACTCATAAATGTTGGTAGCAGACGTCCAAGTTGTTCGATCGTCAAACATATCGTTGAGACAGGTCACAGGATTCATATGGCTACTTCCTTTACACCTATTTACAAAACATGTTAGGGAGGGATCCTTAAATTTGTTGAAGCCTTAGCTATTAGAAAGTGGTAACCACCTTCTGTGTGTGTTCATAAACAATTTGTGTTGTCACATTAAATCTTCTTTGGTAAATTCAACCAGTGAAAACCAAGTTCGATGGATGTACTATTGTTTTTCGCTTTATTGATTTTCATTGTTATTCGGCCTTCAATTCAGCCTTCTTACCTGACCTCCTTTTTATTTTCTCACCCAGCTTGTCTTCATGAGTTTTTATAAACACCTATGACAAATATGTGTGTGATCAGGTAGTTATTCTACCAAATATATCACACTTTAGGCATATAATCGAGGGGGGGTGGGGGGTGAGGAACTTTAATTCACTGATACTCTCAAGAAACATTTTAAAATAGTGTAAAAAACTACTCACCCAATCGTTGCAACTATGCTGATAAAGAAAAGTCAATTATCATTAGCAATATACAGAATATTAGAAAATGAGATGAACAATTTGGAAATCATCTACAAAGTTCAAGATCTACATTGACACTTCTTCCTCACTCAGCTAAAATAGTTTTCTAACTGTAATAATTAAGCCGAATTTGTCCAGAGACATTGCTGATGATGTCCACTCCAAACAAGTGAAACATCTATCCAGTGTTTAAATCAGTATTATCTAACTGACAAAATGTAAATAACACAGCTGAATAGTTCCTAATTACTCAAATTCCTTAGGTAATATCGAGGCATCCACACAGAAACCCATACACCAATAAAGACCGATCAATTCGGTCCAATCAATGATGGTTTAATGTAAAAACAATTATACTAAAAGTTGTTATTCATCGAAGACTGACATCAGTTGGAGGAACAAAGGGTGCGCACTGCTGAGGAGTCCCATACTAGAATGAAACAGCTGTCCAGTGCTCCCAGGTTTCCTTTGTTCCTCCAACTGATGTCAGTCTTCGATGAATAACAACTTGAAATAATTCCAAATCTCCACAACCCCTCAAAATTTAATTATACTAAAATTTATGATTTTATTCGTAATGTCAGAGATTAAATTTCTGAAGGCCACTACCTTGAATTATGAAAGCACCAACTCGGTCTTCTAGTAGCCAGCGTTGTGGACATTCGACAAAAGGCTCTAAACAGCTTCATTTTAACAGTTTTCAAAACTCTATAGAATGAATACAGAGACGTCTTGTTTGCCTCCCCCCCTCCCCTCTACCATTATATTTCTTTGTGTACTCTTCAAAACTATGTATCCAGTTGATACAGATTTTTGAAACAATTAATCCCTTTTAATAAATTTTGATAATGTTATCAGAAAACGAAGGTTATCTGAAAAATGCGCGTTTGACGAATTTGCGCAAGATATTTCGAACAATCTGAGCCTGCACATATTCACTTGTCAAGTTAATTTATATATGAAAATGAAAGGTCAACTATAATGAATATGAGAAGGTTGTGACACTAGTCTTGGTAATATAATCAGATTACTAAGGTAAATTAAGTGAAACAACAAATTGTTTTTGTACGCACAGAAGGGGGCTTAAGTTGACGAGGGGTTAACACTTCAGTGAATTTCAGTATGCGCCCTTGACTGTTCCCATACAATATATCGTGAACTCTGTTTTCCTATTAACCTTGTGATTCATTTCGACGATATGATGATGACGGATGTCTGTCTCCCACAGTTATCAATCGATGTGTGTTGATGTAATTAGAAGACGTAGATGATTAACTGATCAATATGTGATGTATTAGCACTATACATCATTTCGAACAATCTGATCCCCCACATATTTACTTGTTAAGGCAGTATTATATATGAAAACTGAAAGTGGGGGGAGGACAAATATGACATAAAGGAATTCAATAATAAGAAAGATAATGAGAGAGAAGTCCCCTCGGACTATTGCTAGCTGATATTTACATGTCACACATTGAAGGCTTGACCGGACATCTCATCAATAAAGTTACTCTCTATGAAAGATATGTTGATAATATAATCGTGATATGTGATAAGCATTAAGATGCAACATGCTGAGTGGAGCGCAGAAGATCTCCACACTGGTTTCAGGCTAATGAACGCCTGTCTTGCTTTTCCGATTCTGACTGGTTTTGACATCCTCGTATGTGCCATCTGTAGTTGAAACAGTGCTTCCTAGATAGGTGAAGGAGGTTGCTCCCTTTAAGTTTCTCCCGTTGATGGTGACTGGAGTTTGTTGTTGTCGGTGGTGCGGTATCTTCATCACCTCTATCTTCTCTATATTCAGTTGAAGTCCCGTCTTCGCTGCCTCTTCTGTAAACTTGTTAGTTTTCGCCTGTAGATCTTCAAGTTTATGTGACATCAGGCACAAGTCATCGGCGAAATCCAAGTCTTCTAGGTTCTTTTCCGTCGTCCAGCGTATCCCCCTCTTCTCGCTCCCCACTTTTTGCTGCATGATCCAGTCGACCAAGATCCGATAAGTGCAGGTGACAAACATCCATCTTCATCTATCGCTTAACATATACTGGAAACTAACCATAGGATAGCATGAAAACAAACTTTAAAGTACTAAATAAAAGTGATCAGAGCCATATGCTCAAAATTTACTCAAGGTTTTGCTTTATGTATACAAAAACAACTTGAACTCATCTAGTGTATTGGTTTCAGTTTTTTATATTAAGGGTAATATGATCTAGGACTTTGTGTTTTTACTTTTTGTCTCTACCGCTTCCAATTCTCATATTTTTTATTGACTTAATTGACCGTTTTCATAAATTTTTATATAAACAATTTAACAAGTTCATGTATGATCAGATTGTTGAAAATGTATAACCCTAATATAGATCACAAGTGATGAGGAGACAGCCAATCACATTTCTCTATCCCATGAAAAATCATTTTCCTAGCCAAAATATCTTGATTCATTGTATAAGGTGTATTTTTACTTGTGTAATCTCGGTGTAGTATATTAGAACAAAATATTTGTTTATACTAACTCGGTGCCCAAGTTTTTTCTAAACCATCCAGTCCATTGTTGGTTAGGATATCTTCAAAATATCTTGACCTAACTGGTTAAGATGGTTTCTAAAGCGGTCACTTTAAAAGCCATCCTGATATCTGCCAAAATAACTAATCAGGTCAAGGTATTTTGGCTTGGAAGACAATTTTTCATAAAATAAAGAGACATGATTGACTATCTCGTCACTTACTAGGGTGGTCTTTGAATTCACTCTTGTTGAGTGACTTTAAAGACTACCCTAGCCATTGTTAAAACAACTAATTATAACTGTGTATGTTATAAAAGTCTACCTTCCTAGCCAAAATACCAAAACCTGATTGGCTGTTCGAGTAGTTTCCAGGATGGCCTTTAAAGTCATCTCTCTTGTTTGACAATATTCATTCACTTTCAGCTCACGTCTTAGGAAACAGAAATGTAAGAGGAAATTGGACTGACTTTAAAGGTCAGCGCTTTAGCAAAAATTGAAATGAAGAAGCGTCATTAATTATTTCAGTTGTTGCTAGGGTGGCGTTTAAAATCACCCATAAATTGCATATCTTTGGAGTGTATAAAACTTAATAACTTAACAGTTTGTCTTCAAACAGAAACAAGATACACTTTTTTAACTGTTGAATTTGCCTATATGGTAAGCCTGATTTCCCAAATTATTCATTTGTACTTAGGTTCAGCTTTAAAATAGACACTGCGGAGAAGATTATGCAACAACAGCGATGCATACTAACATAAGGTTTTATGTTATTATTATTTATCCCTTGGGTTCCTAGTGGAACAAACCACTTCAGTAGCATGACTCCATTCCACTCTCTCCTCTCCAATCTTTTCAACCTGGCTCCACTACAGCCCACAAGCTCGCATTTCTTCTTCACACCATCTTCTGCATGTCACCCTTGTCTCGGATGCCAAACTCAACGTTTACTATCTGAGTTTCACTCGAGTGCCTGGCGTGATGCGTCATGTCCTCGAATGGTTTTCTCAATGTATACCAAATCCATCTCCACTCTCTCCTTCTGCATATTTGTTGAGCGATAGCTTCTTGCTTAGTTGGTTCGTCACCAGCCACAGTTCCTGTTTGCTTATTCTTTCTGGCAATCCATCTCATCTCCAGTAGGCAGTAGCTGGTTGATGAATATCTGTAGTTTGTTGGAAATGCTTTTGGTGACACACCAAGTTTCCGAACCATATAGAAGCCCTTGTTTTGACTAACATTAATGGTGTTGAAAATCCGGATGTTATTCAGGTGTTATGCTGAGTGCAGTGGGGTAGATCTACACACTGATTCAAGATTAATGCCGGAAGACCTGTCTTGCTGTCTTTCCGATCCTGCCTGACTTTGATATCCTCATCTGTGCCATCTGTAGTTGGAACGATGCTGTCTGCCTAGATAGGTGAAGGAGGCTACTTCCTTTAAGTTTATCCCATCGATGGTGATTAAAGCTTGTTGTTGTTGGTGGTGGTGTTGTTTGGGTATCATCATCACCTCTGTCTTCTCTATGTTCACTTGAAGTACCGTCTCCTTTCGCTGCCTCGCCTCGCCTCTTCTGTCAACTTGTTAGTTTTCGCCTGTAGATCTTCGAGTTTGTATGACATTAGACACAAGTCATGGGCAAAATTCAAATCTTCAAGGATCTTTTCCCCAGTCCATCGTATCCCCCTCTTCTCTCTCCTCACTGTTTGCTGCATGAAGGTATAGTTGAATAAATTTAACTGGAATATAAACTTAGTGATCGGGGGCTTTTTTGTCTTGAATAGACAGGCTCACTTATTTCTGATTGTAAAAAAATTCCAGCTTACTAATTCTAAATGTATAATAAAAGCAAAGCTGATGTGAATAAATTGATAACGTGTGAATCGAGTGGATCACTTGCTAGAGATCCCGATTATAACTTGATTTGAATTGGAGAACCACTAGAAATTAGGGAGTATTCGACAGGTGTTTTCTCCTAGCACGGGACCCCTGAACAGTGTTTACCCATAATTCCATCACGTGTCAAATGCACAAACTTCAGGTTGTGTGGTCAATACGTTTCCATTGTACTACTTGATAGGAATTAAATGGTCCACACTTATGTGACATCTACAGTGTAGACTAGATAACTTACAATGGACGTAAAGTTAAGATTATTGTTAATTAGTATGAATGAAATCGTTTTTCTTTAGAATGTACGACAGAATTTGTGTCAGATTTTTTATTGATCAGTTCTTGTTCACCTTCCATTTTTAATTAGTAGTGCTTACGGTAAAGACAATTTAAGGTATTCTAAATTCCTTCCGTGGCACAGTGGATAACGCCTTGGCGTTTGAAGTGATGGGTTGAGTCTCGGTAGGAACAAAATCATTCAGTAGGGTACAGGTGACAAGTCTGAAGTAGGTCAAAACAGATATTCATCAGCAACTGCCTACACTGGCTCGTTACTGAAGATCAGATAGATTGCAAGAAAGAATAAGCAACAAGCAACTCTGGCTACCAACGAACCAACCAAGAACCTATTACCCAACTAATATGCAGAAGCAGAGAGTGGAGATGGATTGGGCATACACTGAGAAGATCATTCGGAGACATGACGCATCAGGCCAGTTGCTCCAGTGGAACTCAGATGGGAAACGACGAGTTGGGCATCCGTGGCGAGGGTGACATGGAGGAGACGGTGTGAGGAAGAAATGCGAGCTTCTGGGCAGCAGTGGAGCCAGGTTCAAAAGATTGCACAGAACAGAGTGGAATGGAGACGTGCTATTGAAGCGGTATGTTCCACTAGGAACTCAAGAGACAAATAATAATAATACATATTTATTAATGAAGGTACTTAAGATACTTGGGGAACAGTATTTTTAAAAGTTTTTCAACAGTCCTTGTAACCACTTCTAAACAGATGATAAAAGTCAGTTTATTTCATTGTACATATCACAGCTATTTATTCAAGTCAAAAAGAACTTACGCCGTAGAAAAGAACTGAGTACTAAAATGATAAACAAGAAAAAAAGGTAACAATTTCAAGTATGGAAACAAACCTATCTGATTATAGGAGAAGAAAGAAGAGGAATTCAGTGAGGAAAAATGTTACTTTTCTAAGAAATCATTCACTTAGCTATCCATTAGGGAATAAGAAGGAAGAACAAGTAAGTATTTCAGCAAAGAGTCTCTTTTCGGTGATTTCATTTTCAAAATTGTACAATCATAAATCCTACAGCCAGTAATAAGACAAATCGCCATCCATTTTCCACATGATACTTTTCAATTTGTTGATTATATAACAGACGAAGACTTAACTAATAAATATATGATATCACTTGTGATATCGAGTCACTTTTCACTAATATTCCACTTACTGACACCCTCACCTTAAGGAATTGTTACTTAGCTGCACATTTAATGTTCAGTTCAGATTCGACTACATGATTTATCGACAGAAAGACGAAATGGGCATGGATCCCCACTAGGTTCAATATTAGCAGACTGCTTTATGTTCAGTTTAGAGAACAGACCCTTTAAATCAACGATTGAAGGTTTTCAACTGTACGATACATTTACTATCTGTGATCATTAGTATGATTTCAATATTCAATAACTGCGTTGCACCAATTCGATTCACTTTCTTAATGTAGACCTGACAAGAACAGCTGATGAAACGTTAAGTAGGTCAATTCACAGAAAATCAATGTGGGATAGTCAACTGACGAACTTTAATAGCTGAGACCCTATGAGTTGTAAGCGAAATCTGACCATATCTCTTACCACTTGCATCAGACGAACTTAGAGTCCCGATGTATTAGAGGAGAAAATTTCTGTTCTAAAGAACATCCTGACTGAAAACCGATTCCAAACACACTTCATAGACAAAACATCAAGCCTAAACCTCGCGAACAGAACATTACCATTGTGCCAAATAAAACACTCTATGTGAATGTAAACTTCAAAGTTGATTCTGTCTCTGACACTCAAAAAAGGAGGAAGGCATCAAACACTTTAAAGAAAACATTATTTGCATTAACGCTGAGACTTGTATTCTTTTGTCGCTCAACGATATCTAACAAGTCAAAGGAGAAACTTTCACTTCCATGTGCACATATCAACTCATCTGCTCTTCTGGAGCCAGGTATATAGGTCGTTCGATGCGACTGCTATCCAAAAGGGTTTCAGTTTCAGTTTTCAGTTATAAATACAGTAGGCCAGTTGGCCTATGTTAATCCCTGCAGAAGATATCTCTGTGGAGATCTAGTTTCTTCTTGAACGCGTTAACAGATACAACTGATACTACTTGCTGAGGTAAGGAGTTCCAGTCGTTGACAACACGATGGGAGAAACGCAGATTCACGTTAAGTTGATTCGATCGCGGTTTTAGAATTTTCTTGTGATGCCCTTGGAGATAGTCAGTCCTAGTAGGGATGAAGAGATAGGATATATCAGTACCGAAGTCATTACTAAGAATACGAAATGCCAGTATCAGATCACCCTGTCTTCTACGGTAAGACAGTGGGAATAAGTTTAGCTGATCTAGTCGTTCTTTATAGGACAGATTGGAAAGGCCTGCCACAAGCTCAGTACCTACACCTTTTTAACACACTCGAGTGCGTCAGCATCCTTTTTTAGGCATGGGCCGGCCGCCTGAATGCAGTATTCCCAGTGAGGTCCAACGTAAGCAGAGTAGAGTATTCTGAACCTGTCCTGATCAAAACATTTGAAAGCTCTGCGGAAGGACCATAATACGCGGAAGCCCTTTGCTGCAGCTGCATTACAGCTTGCCGAGGTTTTCAAATCATGACTAATGATGACACCCAAGCCTTTTATTTCAAAGGCTGGAAGTAGTGGTGTACCATCAACGGAATACTGGAAACAATTGCTACGACCAATGTGCATTATTTCACTCTTGTTAGGATTGATTTCCAAGCACCAACGTTTGGACCAACCTACTAGTTCATCTAAATCCGCTTGAAGTGCATACCTATCTACATCACTGCATATGGCTCTCCAAATCTTTACGTCATCGGTAAATAACAGTACCGAAGAGTTGAGCATATTTGGCGATTCGTTGATATATAACAAGAAAAGTAGTGGACCTAGGATTATTCCTTGAGAAACTCCACTCATCACAGGTTTCCACCCGGACAGTGTCCCATTTACCCTTACTCTTTGCCTTCTATCGTATAATAAGTCCTTAATCCCAGCTTGCAGTGAAGTACCAAACCCGAAGGAGGAGAGCTTTCCTAGTGATTTCACATGCGACACTTTGTTGAATGCCTTACTGAAGTCTATAAACACGGCATCTATTGGCAGCTTGCAATCACGGGCTGCAACCCATTCCTCTCTTGCGATAAGGAGGTTAGTTAGACAGGAGTGTCCAGTACGAAAACCGTGTTCTTGTAATGCCAAAAGGTTGGCTGACTCAACATGTTTAAGTACCTTATCACGAATTTGCTTTCTAAAATCTTAATAACTATGCTAGTTAGACTTACAAGGCGATAGTTAGACACCAAATCACGACTACAGGCCTTAAAAAGTGGGCTGATTATGGCACCTTTCCAGTCTGTAGGGAGGGTTGAAGAGCACTATCCCGGATGGTTACAATGGAGCAATAAACAGCGCTGTAGTTGAACATATTGTGAACACAAATCACCCTATCTCAAGAACCTCCTCGTTCAAAGTCATCTATAAGGTAAACAGAAACTTTCTATAGGCCGTATGTCTCCATATTCTCTGCGGCGCATCCAAATGGAGTAACTTGAACTGCGTATACAAAACAAAACTGTTCAACCGCATCTTCTCCCTTTTTTCTTTTCATTTTTCTATTTTGACACTATTCATTTCTTAAGTAGTTTGCTACTCATTTTTGTTGCTATGCTCTGTCTGATTACAATTCACTTTCCAATTATATCGTCGAAATATATATATCGAAATGTCTTCTTGTTTAAACTTATTTTGATTAGTATTCACTATACATCAGTTTTCGGCTTTGTGATTTTAATGAGAGTTCACATGATTGACACTATTTATGTTACCTGTCATGCTTGAAAAACCGCAACTGTACAGCTTTGTAAATGAAATCGCTGAAAAGAGACTGTTTGCTGATGAAATACTTACCTGTACTTCTTTCATATCCTGATAGGTATATTTCATACACTCGTAAATACATAGTAGAAAGGACAGAACATTCCAAAGTAATTTCGGCTCAAAGATCAGTATAAATTGTATGTTAAAGGGAAGTTAATTAATGCCCTTAAGCGATTAAAATGGGAAAATTAACAAATGATTGCTAAATCACATATAGTTACGTTATATGGGAGTTAACCAGAGTGATTGATACTCTAAGATGTTCATGGGAAAAAGCAAAGTTGTACAACTGATGTCAGTCTTCGATGAATAACAACTTGAAATAATTCCAAATCTCCACAACTCCCTCAAAATTTAATTGAACTGGTGCTCATTGGTGACTAGCTTCGAGAAGTATTCCCGAAGTTCCAATAAGAAGTCGTGACCGGTGGAGTCAAAGCCTGATGGTCATGAGGACAGATACTCAAAGATGACATTGGGTGGCGGTTGGAAATATGGAGCATTGGATTCTGACCCAGTGACTCAATGGTAACGCGCTGGCCGCGGAACCTGAAGGTCGCGGGTTCCATCCCTGCTGGTGTAGGGTCGTGGGTGCGCACTGCTGAGGAGTCCCATACTAGGACGAAACGATTGTCCAGTGCTCCCAGGTTTCCTTTGTTCCTCCAACTGATGTCAGTCTTCGATGAATAACAACTTGAAAGTTGTACATACTTCATTTGAACGCATTGATGACAAGGCAAATTTTTCAACTGTGCCTAAATGTCTTTAACTTCACTCCTTTCGAGTGACTTGATAGCATTCTATACAAACTTTTCAAGGAATTAACAAAAAACCCAAGTTTTTTGCTGAGCTTTTTTGTTTCACAGGTGAAGATATATTTCTATTCTCTTCTTGTCAGCCAGGTTCGGTAGTGTTTGTATGCATATTTCACAAACTGGCAGATAATACGGCTGATACATTGAACTCCACAGGAGTATTATTGTTATTACTTATCCCTTGGGTTCATAGTGGAACATAGGGATTCAGTAGCACACCTCCATTCCACTCTCTTCTCAGCAGCCTTTTCAACCTGGAGCCACCACTGCCCACAAGCTTTCATTCCTTCCTCACACGCTCTCCTCCATATCACCCTCAGCTGGGACGCCAAACTCATCGTTTCCCATCTGGGTTCCACTCAAGTGCCTGGTGTGTGATATCCCTGAATGGTCTTCTCACTGCATGCTTAACCCATCCCCACTTCCTTCTGCATATTTGTTGAGTGATAGGTTCTTGATTGTTTCGTTCCCCGAGAGAGTTCCTAGTTACTCATTATTTCTTACGATCCATCTGATCTTCAGTAACGAGCCAGAATAGGCAGTTGTTGATAAATATCTGTAGTTTGTTGGAAATGCTTTTCGGGACACACCAAGTTTCTGAAACATCACATAGAAGCACTGACTTGGGTGGATTGGTGTTGAAAATCCGGATCTTGTTCTTTGTGCCGAATGCAGTGCAGTAGCTCTCCACACTGATTTCAGATCAGTGAAAGCCTTTCTTGCTGTCTTTCCGATCCTGACTGGCTTTGACATCCCCGTCTGTGACTGTGCAGCTGCTCGCAGTTGAAACGATGCTGCCTAGATAGGTAAGTGAAAGAGACTACTTCCTTTGGATTTCTCTAGTTCATGGTGATCGGTGCCTCTTGTTGTTGATGCTGTTGTTGGTTGGGTATCTTCATCACCTCCGTCTTCTTTACATTTACTCGAAGTCCCGTTTTCGCTGCCCTGCCCTGTCCCGCCCTGCCCTGCCTCTTCTGTCAGCTTGTCAGTTTTCGCCTGTTGAGATCTTCGAGTTTGTGCTACATTAGACACAAGTCATCGGTGAATTGCAAATGTTCTAGGGTCTTCTCATCGGTCCATCGTATGCTCATCTTCTAGCCCCTCACGCTTCGCTTCATGATCCAGTCCAGTCGACCACGATCAGGAAGATCATGCGTGATCGTAGGCGGCAACCTCGTCTTACTCCTGTCTTCAATTCACTTCAAATGTGTCACTGAGCTTTCCATTGTAGATCACTTGGTATGTTGCGTCTGCAATATAGCTGTTGAATGAGGTTGATAAAGATTTGTGGCACTAAAACCGTAGTATTGAAGCGACTGCCAAATTACTTCTCGGTCGACGCTGTCGAAGGCCTCAGGAGTAAGTTAACTGATATATACATAAACTGATATGATTCCATGCTCCACCTTTTCTTTTGCCTACTGACGAATGAGTTTCTGTCAGGAGAATTTGATTCTAAGATTGTTAGTTACGAATTTATTCTAAGGGTTTTCAATCAACCTGTATTGTCTAACGGCCAATTAGTGCTGATAAAGTTCAGGGAAAAAAAGATGGACACTACTTTGTTGAACCTGTTGATGTGATTAATTTCCAAAAAATTTCTCCACATAGAATCTTATCTCTCTTTTCTTATCACTATACCGAAGTGCTTAAAGATTTTATGATAACTTATTCCTGGTTTTATTTGTCTTAGGCATATGATTGGTCTCAAATATACTTGCCATATGCTGTATGCTTAACTCAATCCATCCACACAAAGGGTCATCCTATTAGTCACTCCCTCCCTTGTATGAAAACCCTCACAACATAGTACACCTTCCCCATTGATCTGATTCATTTGTATATACACAACTAAACATCTTGAACACAAAGTACCATAACTTGTAAACAACGAGACAATCAGTTTCAGGCAAGAACAATCGAATAATACACAATCATGGATTGATTTCATTGAACATGATCCTACGATTATTTCAGAGGTATAAGTCATACATAAATGGATGAGAGAATGGTCAATTGAAAGTTCTTGAACCGAGTGAGTCATACAATAATGTCATCAATGACATGTAAGACAAAACATTATTCTGAAGTAACATTACCGTTTTACTGACTTTACTACTAGTCGAACAGTTCCACGCAAAACTTAGAGTCTTTTGAGGATGAATATACACTTTTGTAAACTTTTTTTGTCAACATTTTTATTACCTATCATCTCGTTACGAAAAAAAGATTTTTGTAAACAAAAAAACTGATACATAGTTACTGAATAACTCACTTTTCAGCTTGTTGGCTGCATAAATAACAACAAGTCGAATAGTATTGCTCTGATTAAATGTTCAACAGTGAGCTAAGCTATTGAACAATTAACGTGAAATTTGCTACCTAAAAGCCTATAGCTATTAAAATGAGCGTTGCTGATAACAATGGATATAAGTAGTATATGTTGAGAGGGTTGCAGAAATCATAGGGAATTACCAATAACGGGTAAGGTTTCTGCCAGGAGCAATGCAAGAAATAACGCAGGCGTATTACAGTAGATGCTGCTGATAAGAATGTATGAAGAGCAGATAAAGAGCAAATCAAGAGAGGAACAGAAGTTGCAACGAAGACATTTGCAAATGACTGGGTTAGTGCAAGGTGTACAATATGTAACGACTACCGTTTCAATTAACGCGCCTGTCGACGTTCATTCATCCCCGCGGTAATCAATTATCCACCCGTCCACTGAGAGGTTTGAGTGGGAGTAAGCTTAGCTGTTCATGAGCTGACAATAGTTAGGGGAATATTGCAAACCTGGGAGTACTGGACAGCCGTTTCCCCCTAGTTTGCGACTCCTCAACAGTGTATGCCCATCCCTCATGGATCGAACTCAGGGTCTTCAGGTTCTGTGACCAGCACGTTGCCATTGAGCCAAGTCATCAGAATGTAATGGTCCATATTCCCAAACCTGGTCGTCTTGAGGACATATAGTCAAAGATGACATTTGGTGACAGTCGCCGTGACAGAAATTGGAGATATGGACCAATAAGTTCCGACCCAGTGGGTCAGTGGTGATATGCTGACCACGGAACCTGAAGGTTTTGCGTTCAATGCCTGGTGGGGCGGGGTCATGGGTCCGCACTTTTGAGGAGTCCAATACTAGGTCGAAACGGCTATCCAGTGCTTCCAGATTTCCAATGCTTTTCCAAGTGATGTCCTTCCATGATGAATACTAACCTGCGAAATCACAAAATCCCCAATAACATTCAAATAAAACAATTCTTTTTGTTTTTCATTGTCATTTTATTGTAGACGATAACCTTGTTGATACATTTCTGAAAAATCTCATTGGTAGAAGTAAACGACATTGACAGCTAATCACTTTTAAGTATGCACTGACCAGTCAGAATGAAGTATTCGAAGGACAATGTAATTATTGAGGAAAATATTATTTTGTTAGCAATGTACAAATCTTGTTTGCATGCCAAATAAAAATATGTAGATTTTCAACAGGTTTATCATCTCTGAAATCTTACCCTTGTGTGTATTGTGACTCATTCATATGAAACTATAACATCACATCGTGGTCTTGTTAAAGGTCTTGGAAACTTTCTGAAATGACCACAGATATTTTCAGCTCTGTTTGTCTGCACTCCACTTGTCGAAACAATGGAGTACTTCTTGTGAAAAATACCGAGTCCTGTTTAAGTTGTCTTCCTTGGTTATTATTTATTTAAGCGAATAAGAAATCCATCTATTTGAACCACATTACTAACTCTACAAAACTTCACATCCAGCCTGAAGATTATTTCGAGGCAAATATCTCTGGAGTGATGATGTCGCTTCACTGACGAAAATTCTGTAACATATACCAGAGCTGTCGTCTATTTTACAGGAGTTTCAGTAACCGAATATAGAACTAAAATAACTACTTGTTGAAGATAGTTAAATGAGATCGTTTGAAAAATGATCCCGTCCCCTAGTGATTGCTTCTTTTAACAGCTGTGATAACAAAAGATAAAGCCATCTCTTTTCTCATTGTTTGGTAATATAACCCATTATAAAACCACATTCACAATTTAAATTTATCCCTACAAGTAACCCACAATGTAATCTTCGTCACCACTAATCAATAGTTAATGCAGCGGCAACGTAATCTTAAACGGATGAGTGACCTTAAATACAGAAAGCATCTGTAATCTGATAGGTCATTCTCAAGGTCTTTTGTCACTAAAGTCTCATTTTATCACCTTTTTCCTTATTATATTGTTTTGAAAAATTGTCTTTGCCAATAGTCGGAAAAGCAACGCGGAATTTTTAAAGCTACAGAATAAGTAGATTGTTTTTATCGTATAATCTAAACATCTGACAACCAATCTTATTGTAATCGATTTATTCAGTTATCATTTATTTATTTCTCGAATCTAACTATGATCGTCCTGTAGTGGTCAAACAGGATACCGTTAGAGGCTGGTAGTGAACTGAAATTAGGATGGATGTAGTTGTAGACGAGTTGAGTATACTTCGCCATAAACCATTCTGTCCTGTTATATAGCTATGATATAACCACTGAAAGTAGAAAACATGAAGCGGTTACCGGAGTTTGTTCACAAGCATCTTTGTAGCACTCCATGCGTATGGTGGAATCACCATATGAGCAATGTGGAGGCGTGACGGAGGGTACTAGGCAAGTTGTAATGCTGAAAGACTTCAGTTTAGGTTAGCAGGAAGCGCAGTGTGGCTAGAACGTGACGTGGCACTAGTGCACAAACCCCCTTGTTGTTGGTTAGAGCCATGTAGGAATGTGTAGACTGCTGCCTGGTTGTGGTTTCTGAGATAATAGGAATGAGTGGTTGAGGACTTTTGGTGATGTAGGTGAAAAGTGGTCACAATGGCGCAGACGTATTCACTCACTGACATCTACTAAAGCTTGAATATGTGCACTATCTGTTGTCCACAAATTGTTTATTCTGTCGCACAACTTTGCCTACTTTGATATCAGTTTCTTTTTCTATCCACCTGTTCTTTGCATGTTGCTACTGTGAAGTGTGGTAATTTGGACCAATGCACTTGTTTGCGAGGTTCCCTCAGCTTCTTAAGTTATATCTCCGAATTGTTTAGGACCTAAAGCTGAATTTATTGATAAGAACACCCATTTTTGTGAATTAAAATGTTAATTGAATTATAACGAGACTTTTTATACCTGTAATAGCTGAAAAGAAATTCAGCTGTGATCATCTTAAAAAAAGTCAGAAACCGATAAACTGTAACACACTGGTTCACGACTGTCCATATGTTTGTCTGGAATTTCAAGCAACCAACAAGAATAAGCAAAAATCACCATCAACGGGAGGAAACTAAAGGAAGTGGTCTCTTTCACCTACCTAACTAGGCAGCATCTTTTCAACTACAGGCGACGGTCCAGATGACGATGTCAAAGCCAGGATCAGAAACGCAAGATAAGCCTTCCTTCATTAATCTGAAATCGGTGTGAAGATCTGCTGCACTGCACTACGCTGCACTCAGCATAAAGCATGAACAACATCCGGATTTTCAACTCTACTAGTGTCAGTCAAGTCAGAGCTTCCATGTGATGGTTCACAGACTTGGTGAGTTATGAAATGGATTTCCAACAAACTGCAGACATGCATCATCAACAGCTGCCATCTACGCTCACTCCATACTGAAGACGAAGATCAGATGGCCAGAAAAAATAAGTAACAAGGAACTGTGTCTGACAACAAACCAACCAATCAAGAACCTGTCACCCAGGAAATATGCAGAAGAAGAAAGTGGAGATGGATAGGACTGGACATACACTGAGTAGACCGTTTGGAGACATCAAGTGTCAGGCCAGGCCGTTGCGTGGGACCCCATATGGAGGACGACGAGTTGGGCATCCGAGGCGAGGGTGACATGGAGGGGATCATGTGGGGAAGAAATGAGAGCTTGTGGGCAGTCATGGAGCGAGGTTCAAAAGACTGCACAGAACAGAGTGCAATGGCGACGTGCTACTGAAGCCCTATGTTCCACTAGGAACCCAAGGAAAAAATAATAAAATAAGTTATACTAAATTATCCAATGAAATGCACTTCACCTTTTGATAAGGCCCAGCTGGCTACCTAAAACATCAATTCATTCTAAATGTCATTTTCAAAACATCTCTTCTCAAGTCAGCTTCTTTTTTGAGACCGGTTGGGCGAACCAAGTCAGACATGACGAAGAATGTTCAACAGTGGATGGCGGTAGTGCTATTTCATGAGTCGATGGGGATAAGAAACTGTGAACAATTGGATTAATGTGCTAGTCACGAAACCTCAAAGTGGTAGGTTCGACCCCTGATGGAGTCATGGATGAGTGCTGTTGATGACCACCATACTTCGACGAATGATATGTGCAGTGTTTCCAGGTCTTCAATGGTCCACCAATTGATGTCTATTTATGAGGAACGCTATCGTGAAATAGATTTATGAGTTTTCAAAGATTTGAATTTGTAAAACTTTCCTCTTTGAGGGAAGTCACCTTTCAGAACGATCTTAATTTCAAGTCACTATATAGACGAACTGATAGAGAGAATTAACATAGAACTTCACATACCGGTGCATTGGTTCAATTTGCCACACACCACAATAGTATACAAAGAACAAGTGGATAAGAAAAGAATAACATCAAGGTAGGCAAAGTTATGTGAGAGAATAAACAATTCGGAGATAAAGGTTAGTGTGAATATTTAAGCTTTGGAAGACAGCAAAGACTGAATGCCATCTACGCCATTTTTACCGATTTCCAGTTATGTCACCGAGAATTCTCAGTCAACACTGATTCCCAAAGTGTCAAGGACTCCAACCAGGCAGTCTGCATCTCCCTTCACGTTACAGACTAACAGTTAGAGACTTCATCGACTGTGCCATATCCTGGTATGAACACCTCTAATCGCCTTCCAATCTAATGCAAGTTCTCCTAGTATCGTACGTTGAGATATGTAGCGTCTAAGCAAGCACAACGTGCGTCCAAGCCATCTTGGTCAATGAAGATACATAACTTTATCAGTCTATTTACCCGTCTTGCTTTTTACCCTTCGCCTGACGTCTACATTGTCCACTATATATCAGGAATGCTACGAAGACACCAGAGATCAAAATCCTGTAATCGTTTCATGTCTTCTATTTTAACATTCATGTCTCACAGCTGTCTAACAGAACAGAACGGAATGTAGCTCAGTATACTTGTCATTTGATAGATAGTCGGATATCTCACCAGTCGGCTCCACAAATGACCCAGGTTGACAAATACTAAACGGGCCTTTTTCAT